GCGAATACAGGCTGGTCAGTCTCACCTTGGTGCCCAACAAGATTATGGAGCAGATCCTCCTGGAAACTAGGCTAAAACACATGGGAAAACAGAGATGTTATTACTGACAGGAGCATTGTTTCATGAAGGGCAAATCATGCCTGACAAACTTGGCAGCATTCTATAGTGGGGTTCCAGCACTGGTGGCTAAGGGAAGAGCAATTGATATAATCTACCTGGACTTGTGCAAAGCCTTTGAGACTGTCCACATGAAACCTTGCTCTAAGCTGGAGATACATGGATTTGACGAGTAGACCACTCAGTGAATAAGGAACTGGCTGGATGATTGTGCTCCATGTTGGGGTCAACTAGTCAATGCCTGGGTGGAGACCAGTAATGAGTGGAGTCCCTCAGGGGCCAGTCTTATTTAACATCTTCAACAGGGACATGGACAGTGGGATTGATGAATCTTCAGCAAGTTTGTTGATGACACTGTGTGGTGAAGTCAACACACTGGAGGGAAGGGATGGCATCCAGAGGGACCTGGACAGGCTCAAGAGGTGGGTTACAAGAAACGTGGAGAGGGACTTTTGACAAGGGGATGTAGGGACAGGACGTGGGGGAATGGCTTTAACCTGGCAGAGGGGACATTCAGATTAGATACAGGAAAGAAATTCTTCCCTGTGAAGGTGCTGAGGCGCTGGCACAGGTTGCCCAGAGAAGCTGTGACTGCCCCATCCCTGGCAGTGCTCAAGGCCAGGTTGGACAGGGTTTGGAGCAAGCTGCTCTAGTGGAAGGTGTCCCTGCCCATGGCAGGGGGTTGGGACTGGATGAGCTTTAAGGCCCCTTCCAACTTAAACCAGTCTGTGATTCCTTACTTGTGCCTCTCAAATTCATATTTAGCAGAGAAATATTTTGCTATAGAAATAGAAATATATTCTATTATATATATAATAGAATATATTTAATATATATAATAGAATATATATAATATATATAGAAATATAGAAAACTATGTATTTGGCCAAGCGGAAATTTTTCAAGCTTAGAAAGGATGTATAGGAAAATAAGTGGTGTGTAATATGGAGCTGATATCAATTATCATTAAATCTTTGGAGTGAATAGTGGATTGGGAATTCTCTACTAATTGTTTCTTCCACTATGTGCTTCTTAGACAGAGGGGACCGAGGCTTTTTGCACAAAAAGAGGTAGAGGAAAAAAATGGCATATTTCCAAACATACTCTCTCAGTCCTTGTTGAATAACTTTTCTCCTCTGTAAGTGAATTTGTTTTGTTACCAGTCATTTTCATTATTCTAATCTCTAATGCAAATTCCTGGTTCTGCATTCATCACCATCACTCATCAGTTATAGTGTGCAGCAATTAATCCTCCTTTCAGCTGTTTGTACAGGATCAGATTCTGGCTGAGAGACTGAAAGGTAACAAAAGCACACTCCTTGACCATGCCAATCTTATTTGATATTCACCTTGCTATCTTGTCTTCAATACCCTTCCTGGTGCTCAATGTTACCGAGGAGCTAGCTCCTTAAGGAGCTGTACTTCATTCTTTAGTGCTCATGGACAGCTGAGGATGAATAGATTCAATAGACTTGAAGTGTGACAGAACTGCTGAGGCATGAGACCTCCCTCAGAGCAAGCAATGCCCATGAAGCAAGAAGGTGAGCAGAAAGCTGCACAGCCTTACTATTAAAGCCATTTGGCTCATTTTCTTCTCTCCCTCGGAAGCACGCTGAGCATGTCCCATTTAGGAATATCCTTATTGCAATGACCAACCCTCAGTCTCAATCAGTGGAGGGCACTAAATAAAATACTGTCCATGGTCATTGGCAGTGCATTTGAGAAATGGGAAAATACAGGACGCCCAATAAGCACACCCAGTCTCCTGCAATTACCTGTCACTGCATTGTAGGAGAGACCTGCCCCATGATCTCAGTGTTAAATTACCACTCTTCAGCACAAGGACATCTATTAAGTACCAGCTCAAGCCTTGAAAGCGCTGGTCCAGATTTTACACCAATTTAGTTCAGTCACAGAGTCATAACAACTTATTTTATATGCAGTCACACCAGTATAAGGACCTTGTACGAGCATTCCTCATGCTGATTTTACACAAGAAAGCTAGAGCAGTACAGGTGTCATTACATGGTATATTTCTGTCCACATGAGGCCTCACTACAGACTGAGCGCTGTGAAGATATCTTTGCCAGATACTTCAGATTGCCAGAGCTTCGGGTGTGAGTCCATATTCCTCATGCATCCTTGTAACTGGCAAGTTAGATTCACTAAGTGCAAAGAAACAGTAGGATATAAAATACATTGGCCATACATATACTATTTTTCCCTACTCAAGTTGTGTTAACAGATGGAGATACACATCAAAAGCCATCTCTGAAGGCTGTCAGAGGCACACGTGCTACTGGAACATGAACTGAGGTGGTTGCTAAGACTTGAACTTGTATTTGTAGTGCTCCCATCAGCAAGGCAGAACACAAGCCCGACACCCACAACAGCCTCTTTGAACCCTGCACTGCAGGCTGTCAGTCTAGCCAGAAACCTAGCAATCTCATTTATGCAAAAACAAAAGCAGAAAGACAGCTCCTCCTGATGGGAATAAAAATTAATTCCACCCAAGTAGCATAAATACTGAATTGCAAATTAAAATGACAATATTTCCTTGTTCAGAAGAGGCTGCCTCATGCCAAAGAAACGCCATTAGCATTAGAGACCCCATCCAAATAAATCACTGGTAAAAACTCCAGAAATGTGATAGAAAAGCGAGGCACAGCCTAGGGTCCTCATTGTACAGAACTTGCCACACTAGAGTGAAATGGACCTACAGTAAACAAGGGGCCTTTTGTTTCAAAAGGTATTTTTTGGGCTGTAGAACAAAGGTGTTACTCGTATCTTGGCAGCTCTCCCAAATGCATGCTGCACAAAAGACTGGTGATGTAATTATGGACACTGCAGAACCAAAGATCTAAAGGATTGTCAGGCCATTTTAGGCTTCCTGGCAAACTGACAGGAACATTTCCAGTGCTCAGATGGAGTGAACTTGAAGAGAAAATTGTCATTTTAAGAGGAAAATGAAATGTCACAATATTGCAAGTAGAATGCAATCCTTACTAGAATAAATGAGGACAATCTATCTGGTTTCATTGTCAGAGAACAAAGAAATACATAAAATGACTATCTGGGACCATGACTCTGTAGCCAAGTAACTTATTTCCAAAAGTACTGAGTAGCAACTGCTTAAATACTGTGAGAATCTTTTATGTACTGAGAGATTCCAGCAACTCGCAGTTAAGAATCATAGAATCACAGAATAGTTAGGGTTGGAAAGGACCTTAAGATCACCCACTTCCAGCCCCCCTGCCATGGGCAGGGACACCTCACACTAAACCATCTCAACCAAGGCTCTGTCCAACCCAGCCTTGAACACTGCCAGGGATGGAGCATTCACAACTTCCCTGGGCAACCCATTCCAGTGCCTCACCACCTCCACAGGAAAGAATTTCCTTCTTATATCTAATCTAAACTTCCCCTGTTTAAGTTTTAACCTGTTACCCCTTGTCCTGTCACTACAGTCTCTGATGAAGAGTCCCTCCCCAGCATCCCTATAGGCCCTGTTCAGACACTAGAAGGCTGCTATGAGGTCTCCACACAGCCTTCTCTTCTCCAGGCTGAACAGCCCCAACTTCCCCAGCCTGTCTTCATACAGGAGGTGCTCCAGTCCCCTGATCATCCTTGTGGCCTCCTCTGGACTTGTTCCAACAGTTCCATGTCCTTTTTATGTTGAGGACACCAGAACTGCACACAATACTCCAAGTGAGGTCTCACCAGAGCAGAGTGGGCACAGAGAGAGAGGGCAGGATCACCTCCTTCAACCTGCTGGTTACACTCTGAATCAGATGGTTTGTCCTTCCAACAGCAAACTGGCCCTTCATGAATATATCTAACCTCTTTTGAATCCATGTGTACCTCTGCTCTCCAGATCACAAAGGAAGGACGAAAAGTTCCACAATTTCATTGTGTATCATATTATTCTGTTTCATATTTGTCTTAGTCCTGTTACTCAATAATTTCATAATGTCTCCCTCATTCTGGTATTATGGGCAATAATTAACATTTAACTTCTTTTCACTTTCCCTGTGCCCCAGATCCATACAACATTTTTCCCAGTCTGTTTATGCTCAGAATACAGCAATCAGTTTGTCTGTAAGCAGTAAGAGATACTGAAAAGGAGGAAATGCAAGGTTGTTGATATGGACTCCCATGTTCTTAAAAAATAGTAATAAACTGAGCAGGTAGCTATAATGCTAAGCAACAGCTAAACAATACAAAAGGTAAGAAAACATCAGTTTGTTAGAATTTTTTTCAATTTCCTGAACTTGAGAACAATAATATTGGATAGATTAATATGGAGTAACACAGAGACCCACAAGCTTTATGTTCACTGCTACTGAAAATTATTCCATGTCCAATCCCAAACATTACAGGCGTGAAACTGCCTTTCACATTATCCAGACCCAATGTGTCCTAATGGAGAGCTTATTCTCCGAGACACCCCTGAAAGGTGTCTCCTAACAAGAAAGCAATGAGTTTACACTTAGAGAAGCCTCTCACTATCAGCTTCTGGCAAAGTACAACATGTCTGATCTTTCAGCAATTAGAAGGGCAGGAACAGAGAAATCAGATCCCAAGAGGTAAAATAAAAGAGATTAAGTGGTGATTCTAGAGGGAAGTCCTTGACCAAAGGGAAAGTCAGCACTGCCATAAGCCAAAAGCCCTGGCTAGTGCTGCCTTTGGCTATGCATTCAGAATGTCATGGAATACAATGGCCTAATCCTTATTTTCAGTTAAATCTCAATTTACTGCTTTGAAATTAGATGAGTCCTTGCTGTGAGATGCAATCAATGCCCTAGAGTATTATATGATTTGATCTCACTGCACCTCTTTAATATTTTATATCTCTCAATGATTCTATTCCATTTGTTACTTACAAGAGCCATATCCCACTGCAAATAAGTCCTTGTACTTTGGATTCCTGTAATGAGAAAACATACATAAGGTTGTATTTCTTAAGTAACCATATAGTTCCATAGAAATGCACCGTGTTTCACACATAAATATAAGAGTCCATTCTCACAGGATTGCATACAGTCTGAGGGCTTGAACTTTTGAACATTTGAACATGTGCACTAGGAAAGTTGGTGTATTCTTCCAGATTCAGGATGCATAAAAAAGTAGAACATCAGAAAACCACAACATAGATAAAAAGAATAAAAAAGGCACAGACAGACATGATGTCAATCTCCAGCATTGCTTGGCTTATCTATTTCATAATCATAAAAAGTTTACTGTTAAAAATTAGGTCTTTAAGGAAACGAAAAAAGTAGGAATGTGTTGGTTTCCATTTTCAGAGGCAAGAATACAGGAGCTTCTAAACCACAACAGAATAATACCCAATAAACTTATCTTCCTACTTGTAATTAAATAACAAGGGATACTTCAAGAGACAGCTATCAATTCATGACTTCATGACCATTCCCAAAGACCAGGAAGTGAAATTCCCTTTGGTGAACAGTATACTTGCTGAGACATGCTGGCCCTGAGCAACTAGCCATCTACTACGCCTTCTAAAATCCCTGTATTTGTAAAACATATACCTTCTTTACAACTTCTGCTTTATGCGGACACTTACAGAAGGGTTTACACGGGACAAAGGTCAGTACCGCTGCTGTTCCTGAGCTCACACAGCACACCTAGTGGCTAACAATTCTATGAAATGAATGGATGTGAAAACTGAGTGTTGTCTCTGATTAGTTATTATGAATTGATAAAATAAATCCACCTCTCTTATAACTTCTTTTCACTTGGGCTAGTATCTAGGTATTCTCATGCTCTTGTTTTATCCACTAAATGCACTGTTACAACTAACAATGTGAGAACAAAAACAAAATTAGGAGCATGACCAGCAGGTCAAAGGAGGTGATCCTGCCCCTTTACTCTGCTCTTGTGAGACCTCACCTGGAGTATTGTGTACAGTCCTGGTGTCCTCAACATAAAAAGGACATGGAACTGTTGGAACAAGTCCAGAGAAGGGCCGCAAGGATGATCAGGGGACTGGAGCACCTCCTGTATGAAGACAGGCTGAGAAAGTTGGGGCTGTTCAGCCTGGAGAAGAGAAGCTGCATGGAGACCTCATAGCAGCCTTCCAGTATCTGAAGGGAGCCTATAGGGGTGCTGGGGAGGGACTCTTCATCAGAGACTGTAGTGACAGGACAAGGGGTAATGGATTAAAACTTGAACAGGGGAAGTTTAGATTGGATATAAGGAAGAAATTCTTTCCTGTGAGGGTGGTGAGGCACCGGAATAGGTTGCCCAGGGAGGTTATGAATGTTCCATCCCTGGCAGTGCTCAAGACCAGGTTGGACGAGGCCTTGGGTGATATGATTTAGCATGAGGTGTCCCTGCCCATGGCAGGGGGGTTGGAAGTGGGTGATCTTGAGGTCCTTTCCAACCCTAACTATTCTGTGATTCCATAAAATTAGAAAATCTTATTACATAAGGAAATCTGGAGTAATTCTTCCCATTTCAGGGCCATCTTTCTGTTATCACCTCCTGGAGACAAGAATAGCAGCAGCACAAACTACTGTTAAAGATCCCTTATCTCCCAATTTTACATCTTATTTCCCTATTGTTTTGCAATTCTCACAATTGCATCCTTGTGAGAATATCCCTGGTATTCTATTAAAGTATAATTACTGCAGTGGTTTGAAATGACAGAATCCTGCTCTGTTTCTCCATAGACCCTCTTTAGCAAGACATGGGTTCACACTGCCTCACAGACAAGTGAGGGTAGGCCTAGCTGCAAAGGAGGACAAGGACAGGAGCTGACTATGTGTCATGTTCAGTGCATGAACCAGGCCAGTTCTGGGGAGCATCAAGCATGATAAACAGTAAAAGGACCCATTCGTGTTTGTGACAAGTGTTTTTTTCATGGTAATAATCATGACTATAACTGATTTGAAAGTATCAGAGATCCTGTTTTGACTAACCAGGAATAAATATGCAAAAGCGGACCGCCTGGCAAATACCTACTAAACTGAATTGCGTGAGATCCCAGTACACAAATACCTCTGTTGTCTGGTCAGTGACTGAATATGTACTATGCATAAAAGGTCTTGTCGGGTATCAGTGCCTCAGCATCATACAGTCTATGGTGCTGCCTGTCTGGCACATGCAGTATTTGCATTTCCCTTTCTGCTGCCTTAATTCTTCTGTGCTGACACCTGTCAAAAACATAGCAGCTATCCCTTCTCCTCTCCTGGCCTTTCCAGGGTTGATTCCTACAGCACATTGTCCAAAGACAAGAATATTTATCCCAGTTTTCCCAAGAAGGAACTCTTCTTTGCTCTGCTAACTGAACTCACTTTAACCTAGCGCTTCACAGAGCCTATTGTGCCTTCACTTTTGTTGAATGCCACAAGCCTGGCACATTCAAGCCTTACACAAGAGGATTTGCATCCAGAAGCACCAGGCATGTCCAGGTGCTGCCAAAGAAGCTTGTGTCTAATTCTTCAAGACAGTGTTACAAGAGAAACCAGCCCAGACTTCTAAAGGGCCATCACATGCAAGTCCACTTCCGTGCGAACCAAGTTTGTAATAAAGAGACTTACCAGGAGATGGCAGTAACTGCAAATCGCTTGGCTTTGTCATACTGGAACTTCCACAGCGGGAGTAGGGTTCCTTTCTGATCTCTGTATTCATCTGACTCATCCTCAAAATATTTAAAATCTAAAACAAACAAAAAAAAAAAAAAGGAGAAGGCCACCGTGTATAAATTGGAAATAAATCAGCACGGTGCAGTGCCAGGGAAGTTTTAAAGAACATTCTTATCCTCACAGCCTAGCTAGCCAGCTCAGAGCAGGGCTGATGTGGAATGCTCTCTGCATGCCCACAGCCTGCTGTACTGTTTGCCTTGTGTGAATCACAAGGTTTTTAGCCTTGCTCATTTTAGCCCTGTCTATTCTATTCTACTCTGTTCTGTTCTTCCTACAGCTGTGTCCACTCATCTGCAGGCTTTCTCCCAGCAGGACCATACCTTGTATAATGTCATCCAGTGTGTTCTGATTCACCATCCGCTCCATTATCTTAGCAACCTTTGAGACCTTTGCTATTTCATTACTCTGTTGAAAAGAAAAACAAGGAAGAGAAAATGTATTTTCTGTCTGCTTACAAGTCCTTCAGATCTCCTGTGACCGAAAAACTTGAGTCTTTTGATCTTGAATACAAGGTAATTTGAAGCTCCTCACACCTGCACCTAATGATAAAAGCACTTGAATTAAGGCAATTACTTTATTATGTTTAGCAAGATGCCATCCACAGATGAGCTACCCTTCAATGTTAGTGATTTAGCTCAACTAGAAGGTACTTATCTGTGAAGGCAGTTAGAGTCTTGTCTTCCTTAACTCTTCAACCTACCTCAGGATGGGATGAGATAAAAACACACATGTGATCCCACCCTCATTTCACCTGATAATAGCTCATTAGCTTCAGTAATGAAATCACAGATACTTGATCATGCATGAGCATTCTCTCATCTCTAGCTGGAGAGCTTTTAGGTCTCATGTATTAGGTAAAGATCACAGGATTTTTGAGTCCTTCTGTCAATCCCTGAGTAATTCCAACTTGATGAATTCACAGATCCATAAGCTCATACAATACAAAACCAATATGAAAAGGGCGAATTACTTTCTAGCTCCTTGGAAACTATTTCTATATTGTGGAAAATCCAATTTTCCTGGCCAGGGAACTCAAGTGGGCAAGCCTGCATATGTGAAGGTATGCAGATACACCTGCATGTAGGCAAGTATTGGAAACCTCTTGGGGAGTGGCATCTTCCAAGGCCAGCAGTCCCTTAATAACTGTATCAGTAATATTATGTAAGGCTAAGATTGCCTAGGAAACTACGCCAGAAATAGCAAACTTAAGTATGGACATAGCAAAAATGTGACCGATAGGGAAAAAAGTAATTAAAACCAGGTTGTTGACATGGAAGAAGAAAAGGGTGGAGAGAGGGAACAATCCAGGTGGATGAGGGGAAAAAAAAGCAGAGAAAAACAGAAAAAAGAGAACGTAACAGGGGGTCTCTGACTGCCAGCAGGTATCGGGTTAGTATGCTTGCCTGACAGAGCCCTGATCACCACAGTCTTTCAACCATCTTCTTACTAAGTGCTGCTCCTGTTTTCATGTGAGTGTGCTCTCCATCCTCTGTATTGTGCAGCCACTAGGAAAATCCACACTGGTGTAACCAGCAAAGACAAGAAGCCTGGCTGCCAAGTCTTCAGGCTGTGCTGAGCCATTAGGATGATGCCAGCACAGCTCTGTGCCATTGTGTGAGAATACCAAGGCATACGCAGAGTTCACTGCTCCAAGGACCTGCATCCCTACCTTCTCCTGCCCCAAAGCCCCATTAGTGTTTCAAAGCCTTTCATCTTCAAACCCTGCTAGGGACTGGTGACTGCCAGCACAGCATGATTTCCTCCACAGTGGCAACACTCAAAAGAAACTTGTCATCCTTGACACAGCTCAGAGGGTGCCCTGAACATGAAAAGAAATAGTGAAATGAGTTGCCAAAACTAGACCACACAGACAGAGTCATAACCAAGAACATGACTTCATATTACGTGTGTCCCAGACCTCTGCTTCTTTCCTGGGCTCTGTACAGACTTGAGGGAGACTGACACCATTGCTTCAAGAGCATGAAACTTACAGGACTACACAAAGATGACAGGGCAAAGGAGAAAAGAATAGCAATTCTATAATTTGCAATATTTTTAATAAATCCATAGTTTGCCTAAACCTTCAGTAATGTGTGCAGTTTTATTCTCCCATCTCAGAAAGGATAAAGTAGAACTTGAAGCCAAGTTCGGAGAAGAACAACAAGGCATGTTCAAGTCTGGAATGGTTTCTGTACCAGGAAAAACTGAGTAGGCTGGGACTTCCCAGTCTAGAGAAGAGATGCTTTGGGAAGATAATGAGACATGTCTATGAAATCCTAAATGGCCCTGAGAGGATGAGCAGGAACTGATTGTTCACTGTCTTTTCTGGTACAAAAAAGTAGGGGTGTCCAGTGAAGCTAGTGGAAACCAAGTTCAGAATAAAGAAAAGGAGGTGACTCTTACAGAAGGATGACACAACTGTGAAAGTCCTTGTCAAAGGGTGTTGTAGATGCACGAATTTTACACAGTTTCAAGGAAGACTGAACAAGTGTTTCCATCTATGTGTTAGAGCATATAAAGCTTAGCAAATAAGTGGAAACAGTTGAAGGCTAGAAGACTATTTGGAACTGGGATATACTCTTGCTGTGTTCTTACAGTTTACACATTCACTTATGGTTAGAGCCTTGATCTGAACCAGTGTGGCCACTATAATGTTCTTCAGGTTTTCCCTCAATCTGTGGGCAAAATTCTTGAGAACAGCACAGAGCATTTACTGCCAAATTCAGAATTTAAGAAAGCATAGGAAAATAAATGGTGGTTTTGGTTTGTTTGTTTTTTTTTTTCCACATTTTAACACAGCATGATATTCCTTAGACATCAGGAATTCAAAAATATTGAGAAATCAAAGACAGAGAGAATGAGGATGCTTGAGGCATCTCATGTAATAATCAATATTCTCAGTTGCTGGAATATCTCTCTTTTGACTTCAAGTTGCCGTTATTGCTTCAGCCGCAGTAAGACCTGTCTTTCTCTAAAACACTTCCTCAAGAAAAGGCAATTAACCTTTGTCAACACTTGCCCAGCAGTATTGGGATCATGACTATAAAAATGCCATTGTCTGCCACCACTGTATTGCTCTGAGTAAGCTTAATTGACATGGGTTAAAAACTGAAAAGGTTACATTTTCGTTTAAAAAACAGAAACGAATTAAACCTTTTTCTCTCCAGTATTGTAGAAGTCAGAGATACAAGGCATAAAGAATAGATCCTCCAAGCCTTGCTGATCCATCAGTTGTGTTAGTTTCCATTCACCTATTATGCAGAAAAAAAATTCTCTTCAGTTTTAATATGCATCTGCTACTGGAAAAAGCTGGAGATAAATGGCAGTGCTGTACCCTGCAGACATGAGCAGGATCATGGCTCTTGTTCTCTTACACTGTTAAAGGCTAGAAGAGCAGGAAACTTGCACTGCAAGCATTCTGAATTTCATCCTAAGACATCATTCTGGGCTGAAGATCAGTGGATAAGGCTTACTTATGCATACACAAAGCTGAATGCTAGATCCTGTCTCATCTGTAATAACACCAAGCTGTGTGGTGCAGTTGACACACTGGAGGAAAGGGATGCCATCCAGGAGGACATTGACAGGATCAAGAGGTGGGCCTGTGCAAACCTGATGAAGTTCAATAAGACCAAGTGCAAAGTCCTGTAACTGGGCTAGAGCAATCCCAAACCTTCAAATAGAGGCTGGTCAATGAATGGATTGAGAGTAGCCCTGAGGAGAAGGGTATGAGGGAAGTGATGGATGGAAAATGGAATATGAGCCAGCAGTGTGCACCTGCAGTCCAGAAAGCCAGTCATATCCTGATCTGCATCTAAAGAAGTGTGACCAGCGGGTCATTTGCTACTCCACTCCCATGAGACCCCACCTGCAGTCCTGTGCTCTGCTCTGGGGCTGCCAACATAAGGAAGTGGGCCTGTTGAAGCAAGTGCAGAGTAAGGCCAAGAAGATGCTGTGAGGGCTGGAGCAGCTCTGCTCTGGAGCCAGGCTGAGAGAGCTGAGCTGGTTCAGCCTGGAGAAGAGAAGGCTCCTGAAGGGGAGACCTTAGAGAACCCTGAAGGGATCTATGAGAAACCTGGGAGGGACTTTTTACATGGGCATGTACTATAAAGACAGGGCAAGGGGGAATGGCTTTAACCTTCCAGAGAGGAGATTGAGATGAACTCTCAGGCAGAAGTTCTTCCCTGTGAGGCTGCTGAGGCGCTGGCACAGGGTGCCCAGAGAAGCTGTGGCTGCCCCATCCCTGGCAGGGTTCAAGGCCAGGTTGGATGGGGCTTGAAGCAACCTGGTCTAGTGGAAGGTGTCCTTGCCCGTGGGAGGGGGTTGGAACTGAATGAGCTTTGAGGTCCCTTTCAACCCAAACCAGTTTGGGATTGTATGATATTCAGAATCTATGATGGTTTTCCCTTTTGATGAGTGGAAAGCAGGCTTTAAACAGCATGCCCCCACACACACCTGTAAATACAGAAATAATGTATTATTCAATGGAATTTTTCCTGCAATGCAGGAAACTCTCAGATGAATCGAAAAAAGCTTAAAGTCAGCTTTCCTGCTAGGTAGCTTTGCTGACAGCAATACAGACATGAATAACTACATCTTCGGCATGACACTGGATCAGAGTAAGTTGTTTTCTTATTGGATCCTGTCCTATCTCAGGTTTGATTTATTCCATGTGTTACCAAAATAGATTTTCAATGGAAGCTATAGGCCTAATTTATCTTATTTCTGAAAGATCTAGCTAGCCAAATGTAGTGAGAGCTCGTCAGCTAATGAATTTGTTTCATTTATTTCTGTGCATAAATTATTTTTAGAACAGCACTAATGTTAATTGAATCATATGTAAGATGTATAATGGGATAATATTTTGAAAATAAATGTCTTGGTCTTGCTCTACTATTCATTAACACTAATTGCTTCACATTTGCCTCTCAGCAGCTGGTCAGTTCCAATGTGTAACTGCAGTAAACTAAAGCATGAAAAAACCCTTCTGCTGGTGTAAAACTGTATATCCAGAAGACAAACCCCATCCTAAAACCAGTGCAGTAACTGCTCATACCTCTAGCAATACATATAGAATTACAGAATAAATTAGGTTGGAAAAGACCTTTAAGATCATCAAGTCCAACCATCCCCCAGCACTAAGCTTACCATGTCACTGACGGATGGCCTCGTCTACATGGTTTGTGAACACTTCCATGGATGGTGACTCCACCAGTGCCTTGGGCAGCCTGTTCCAATGCCTGAGCACCCTCTCTGTGAAAAGCTGTTCCTAATATCCAGCCTAAACCTCCACTGGCATAGCTTCAAGCCATGCCCTCTGTCCTATCACTTGTTACTTGAGAGAAGAAACCGACCCCCACCTCACTACAACCTCCTTTCTGGTAGTTGTAGAGAGCAATAAGGTCCTCCCTTTTATTGCTAATATATTTGTAAAAGCATGTTTTATTATCTTTTATGGCAGTGGCCAGATTTAGTTCCATCTGTGCCTATATACTGTGACAATTAGAACTCCTGCCTTGCAAGGAAAAAAGCACAGTACAGGGGTGTTGTCTTGTTACCCAGCCAACACCTCCATGTACTGCAAAAACCCACTGCCAATTCTAAGTAAGGATTACCAGGATGAATCCTGTAAGGTAGGTATTAATTTCCAGGTTGTACTTATCTGTTCATTTCCACCAGAAAATACTAGCAGATTGAAGACAAAGGGATCAGTAACAACTCATTCACCCCTAGGAATAACCAGGAACAGGTTAACCGTAATGTGAAGGTTAATTACATTTGAATTTCAGCTGTTATTTCAGAAAAAAAACTGTGGCCAGTTTTATACTTATGTGGCCCAAATTATACTTATGACCCTGTGAGCTGGGCTGTCTCACAAGGCATACGTCCCTCAGAAAGGATAAGGCTACAGTGCGGTAGGCAAGTCAGACAGGTCCTCAGTCTGAACCAGGACTGCATATTTTCTCTGATAAATATAAATTTCATCTGGATTTCTGAAGAAACCATTCAACCTCTGCTTCAGGAGAGATTAGAGACTGTTCAGTGCAGTAAGTTACAGCTGTAACATATTCCTAAATGGTTCACATCCACCTGTATTTCTGCCAACACTATTCTCTGCCTTAGTAATTCTTCTCCCTCTCAGTTACTTCAGATTCCCTCTCTGCAATTTGGATTACCAGAGAAATATGCAAAGGTTTTTTTTAGTTTTCTGTATTGAAGCTTACCATTTCTTGTATTCTTTTCCATATCTATGCAGGCTTGTAATCTACCATCTTTGTAGAGATGTGATCAAAACCACATATCCCTGTACTACTCCAGATATCACCCCACATTACGCAAGAGAAGTATTTCTCTGCTATTCCTCACAATATATTCCAGCAATACACTTGTCTTTTCATAGCCGTATCACAACTCACCAAGCAATACACTCATGTTTCTCCCTGTCTTTTCAAATTATAAACCCTCACCTTATCAAAGATTGTTCTGATACTCTAAAATGCAGTCCTCCTATCCACTGATCCCTCCCAATCTGTACTAATAACAGCTTTTCTGGCTTATCTGATCTTTTCCTAAAGGCACTATAGGAATAGCCTTACAGAATTTCAGCCAGATTATTTTTACTATACTTCCCTTGTTTAAGGAAACCACAACTTCTTCTCATATTAATAAGAAAGAGACGCTTTTTTTTGACACAACCTACCTTTGGCAAACATGCTATTTTATCCCATTTCATATATACTCCCAAGTCTCTATTCTTTCCATCACTATTAACTCTATTTCCTTATATGCTGTTAAAGATCAGACTTATGGAACCATTTCTACCTCTCTGACGTATAATATATCCTTGTTATACTCCAATTACACAGCTCCACCTCTCTTCAGACAGATTCATTAAAAATCCTTACTATCAGAGTTGTGATTTCATGCCTTGTCATCTCAGGGTGAGAGGAGCTAGCCTGCATCAATTTAATTGCATTAAGCTCTTTGCATTTTGCTTCTACCTCAGATACTGTCATTTCTACACTCATATAACAACATGAGAAGGGTCAACCTGGATCAGACCAGGCATGTCTCAGGCCAGAATCCTCTCTGTAATCAGAACCATAAGCAGATGGCTCGGGAACAGTGAGAACAGGACAAGCAAATACAACACTTCTGCCTAGTTCTCTCCACTTCCAATTATTTTCAGCTCAGAAAATCTTGTATCATTGATATCCTCTTTGATATGATGTGCTCTACATGTTCTGTTTGTTGCCTTTATTGAAAACTGAGGAAAAGTTTCAGATGTTGCACCACTGCTTCTGGATGTAGCACATCCTCTTTCTGTTCTCTAGATCCATTTAACTGACTGTGATGGGTTGATATTTGAGGGACATGAGGTGCCCACCAAAGCTGCTCTGTCATTCCCCATGTCGGCTGAACAAGGGAGATAAAACATAGCGAAAGCTTGTGGGTTGAGGTAAGGACAGGGAGAGATCACTCACCACTTACTCTCATGGGCAAAACAGACTTGACTTGGGAAATTAATTTATTGCCAATCAAATCAGAGGAGGGTAGTGAGAAATAAAAACTGAATCTCAAAAACACCTCTCCCAACCCCTCCTTTCTTCTCAGGCTTAACTTGACTCCCAAATTCTCTACCTCCTCCTGCCAAGTGGTGCAGAGGGACAGGAATAGGGACTGTGGTCAGTGCATCACAGATTGTCTCTGTTGCTCCTTCCTCCTCACACTCTTCCCCTGCTCCAGCGTGTGATCTCTCCCATGGGAGACAGTCTTCCATGAACTTCTCCAATGTGGGCTCTTCCCACAGGCTGCAGTTCTTCACAGACTGCTTCAGCATGGGTTCCTTCATGGGATGCAGTCCTTCAGGAACAGAATACTCCAGTGTGGGTCCCCTGAGGGGTCACAAGTCCCCCAGCAAACCTGCTCCAGGGCTCCTCTCTCCATGGGGCCACAGGTCCTGCCAGGAGCCTGCTCCAGTGTGGTCCTCCCACAGGTTCACAACCTCCTTTGGGCATCCTCCTGCTCCAGCATGGAGCATGAAGAAGGTTTTTTACTATATGTTTTCATAGGTAGAATTTTTGCTTCATTTTATTATCAGCTTTTAGCGTACACCATTTAACTGTACCACTGACTTCAGGTTCAATTCTTCAAGGGACTCAGGTGAAAGATCTACTAGTTTTCAAAATGACTGTGAATTCCAGTGGCACAATTCACAAGAAGAAGCCTCTCACAAGAATAGACAAAACATGTTCCTTGTCTGTTTATACTATAAGGCTTTTGTTGGCACACTGTTGCTGGGGTCGCTAAGCAATCCAAATCCTCTACAGCTGAATCAGCAATATAGTATGAAAGTGCTAAAGCCAGTTTCAGAAGCCAGTTTCTATTACATAGACATATCCTAGTTATGCTGATATATCTACACCTATTTCAGTGGCAAATTAAGTATTTACTCCCCTGTTTCTGTATTACTGCTCTCAGTGCATTTTGCTCCAGTCATGACAGAAATTATTTCTCTTTGCCTTGGAATTGGTTTAACTTGGACTGGGGAGGAAAGAACAACCCACAATTCTGTATAGATCAAACTGTGTTAAAACTTAATGGAAACTTCCTGAAACCCCCCATCCCTCTAAGCACTCTGGAACATGAAGAAAATCTTTCAGTGTGGCCTCTGTAAAGAAAGAGGCTAAACACACACACCGCTTTCACAACTAGCTCCCCTTTCTTCACTCAAGCATAGTAATTTACAGCATACAGATATGGGTCTGAGCCATGAAGCCAAACAGCAACTACATCATTCCCAGTGACTGTTTTCAGTCACTATAAATTCTATTCTATAAACCATCACTCCCCAGGCTGCTTCATCCCAACCTTGCAACTCAAACACCCCCTGGCTCGCTCAAGACACAGGTGCGCTACCAGCAATTCTTCTTCTTCTTCCTCAATTATCCACATAGCGGGAACAGGATGGCTTGCAGTTCCCACATTTCAGCACCACCGTATTGTATTCTCAGTGCTTGGGATCACACTTTTAAGATGAGGACATTGTCACTTCAGCAGAATGGACTGTGGCATCCCTGCAAGGCACTCCTGACAGAGTATGCTGGATTAGGAGTCCGTATCACCCTCACAGCAAGATCACAAAAACAGCATCTGGGATCTTGGCAGGAGTTACGATACCTGCTAATCTGAGAAGCCAGTCTAATGGAGGCCACTCCAGATCAGCAGTCTTTGACATTCACACTGCTGCTCCATAGGGATCAGAGTGGCTGACCCCCTCTTGGGATGATCACATCACTGTGACTGAGGTATCACCATGCTGTGTAATTACTGCCTGTGGCATAGCAGTTCAGACACTGGAGAGAGACATTTCTGTCACTTTCCAACTGAATGAATAAGCCATGCACGAAATCCCCCTTCAAATTAGGTCAAGCCTCACAGAATTGTTATTTAAGTACGTAGGCTTTGATTTTAATTAACCATGATTAACTTTTATATAAAGCACATATTATATATCATTTATATGCATATAACTATAAAACATATAAATTATAAATCTATAAAATTATCATTAAAATAGCAGTGCTTTATTAACATTTTGAAAGAATCCTAAATTTCTTTGCCTTTCAGATTGGAAGATTGTACCTAAAACTTCTGCATCACTTGGAGTTCTTTGCAAAGTCACACATTGTTTCTACTTATTTCATTCTTTTATCTCTCACATGCTAATTAAAAATGAGATATCCACTATCAAAACCATGATAATGCACAAAAAAAAAAAGAGACCTATATGTCAAGGGGAAATCAGGTTTTAAGACAAGATTATGGCTTAACCCTGTTTTGTGTTCCCATACAAGTACAGCAAAATGGAAATCCTGTTTTGGAAACACAGTTCCTAATGAAAATAATTTTTTTAATTTCTTAGGGTTGTTACTTGACAATTGAGACAACTAGCTACACAGTCAGCATGACTTGCTATATTTCCCCTGACTTTCATTATGGATGCATCCACCACCACCCTGAGCAGCCTTCTTCCAGCATTATGAAATGTACCTGAAACTCCAGAGAGGTAAACTTTCTTTCCTTCTTCTTCTTCACCTCTTCCTTCTTTATTGCCTGAGGTTTTGATTTCTCTTTCTCTTTTTCCTTTTCCATTTTCTGAATGTGCTCCACATAGGCATCATAGATCTCCCACTGAGAGACAGAGGCAGGATTTATCAGGACCTGATTATATGCCACAAAACAGCTATCCTACACCATCAAAAAATATGTGTCCTCACAACAAAAACACTGCCACTGGAATCAGCTAAAGACAGCTGGCTTGTTGCACAAAGAGTAGAGGATTGAAGCCCAGGATTTTTAAAGCTTGATGGGGTATGTCTTACTTTTTAAGAACACCTTATTGCATTCTTGATGATTTATTCCTTGAACACTCTTCTTGGTGCTTTGACCCTGCATCTTTTTTGTAGGACTTTGTGTTTGGTCAGTTTACCAGAGCTTAACAGGAAACATGCATTAAACATCGCTCTATGACATTTCTCATGTGGCGCTGGAAAATTAAATCGTAGCTGCTTAACACAGTTGAAATCTTGGACTCCAACTCTGAAGCATATGATCAAATGCAAACTGAGAGCAGCTTTGTATCTTCTGCTATGCCACATGACACAAATGCCTTACTTGAGTAGATACAAAAGTAATTTTTCTATTTAAGAATTATTCATCAGCATTGGAATGCTAGTACCGTATCTGAAACAGGTACATTACTTTCAGGGCAAAACAAAGGCAATCTAATTCTGACACATAAGTTTAGGAAAGCAGGTATGATTCAAACACAAAATACAGACTAGAGCACTGGAGAAAAAAAATGGTAACAGAAATCTGTAGCAAAAAAACCCTGCATTGTGTTTTAAACTTGCAAGCAAAAATGACATTGAAAGATGTTCCAGACATCAGGAAGATGACAAAGAAGATGTGATAAGAAGAGTAGGAGGAGTAGAACAGAAAACTTCGAAATAAGAAATTGTGAGCATAAGGAAGAATAAAAGAAAAAAGAATTGAGGTAAAAAAGAGTTTGTGTTAAGATTTCATCTTGTATCCACTCAAAAATCCAGCAGACTAAAAGGAAAACATGGGAAAACTTTTAATTTTCAGACATTTCATGCAGAACTTAGGTGGGGTCCAAATTCATGAGTTTGTTTGCTTGAGTTTGGTACAGTAGGTTAACTTCAGCAACAGCCTAATTGTCTTAAACAGTTCTGTTCTCCCTAATTCTCAGGTCATCAAAAAAGAAAGGCAACTAACTGGAGGGGGGGGAGATCTTAGGCCAATTACTCTGTGATTTCAAGTTCAGGAATAGACTGGGTTACAAAGACACCTTCGCTCCGCTTCCTATCAGTTTTCCATTTTTTAAGTTGCTTCCATTACCTTATACCTTCTCCTGTGGTACACTGGTAACAAATACCAGTTGGGTACACTACTTTAAGCAGTATTTGCAACACAGTGACAAACACAAATACATGTTGAAAATATCTGTGAAAATTAATTAGCAGAATTGGCTGGATTGCCTTTCCAGTGAAAGATATAGCATATTTAATGTGTAAAATAGCATGCACATTTTTTTTACATTTTTAAGAGGTAGAGGAAATATTATATAATTCTTCATCATTAATCAATTGGCACATTCCCATTACACAAAATAGAGCTAAGTCTATTGCAATAGGCTTAGTGTGGACCTTCCACATTCCTTATGCAGTAGGTCTCACCAGTTTCAGCTTCAGGCTTAGAAACCTGCTTTCACATACAGCTGAACTTAGACAAGGTAAAAAACACAGTGTTGCACACATCAAATTCTTAACAACTTTCCTAAAACTTCAAAGAACCCTCTTGAAATCCCAGCTGTATGAAATCCTCAGAGTTCTCCACTCTCTAAACACAGTGTTCAAAGTGGAGCTAGCATGCAGACGTGTCCTAAGCACTATTTCATTGGTGTTTTTTTGTGTATTTTAGTCCCCATTGATCCTGCCTCTGATGGGATCAGCTGATAGAGGTGTCCTGCAGCTGACCAGGTATTAAATTCTGGATCACAGCTCCTCCTAAATAACCAGCTCACTCACCACACAGTGATGGGAGATCTTCAGCAGCAGGACAGTCCCCACTCCAGAGAGAGCCATGCCCCAGAGGAGACAGTGCCTGCAAGCTGCAGTCCACCTCTTGCTGAGTCCAGAATCATGCTCTCACTGTGGTTTCCCCATTTTCACTCATTTAAGACTCCTAAGCAGACTGGACAGGGTGGCTGGCAAGTGATAGATCAATTAAAAGCAATGAAACCAACACACTTGGCCTTAGAAATATAAACCATTAGCAAGTTCACCCATTACGGCAGAAAAGAGGGCCACACTAGTTTGCTCTCAAATTTAAGCCAAAGAGCAAGGCCACAGTATGGGATTTCATTCCATTGCAAGGAACGTAAACATAGCAATTAGGTTTTTCCTTTCTCATATCTCAGTTTCATACATAAACTCTAAAAAAACTTTGAAAGAATATACCTGGTTAACAGTGGATGAGAAATCTTTACAAGGTGTAGGCTCCGACTGACACGCTTTTTCCTGAATAAAGAACAAGCATAAAGAAGTGTAATCTTTGCATTGAAACTCTTTTCAGTGACATCTGTGGAAACAGCCTTCTCATAGCAGGTAGTTAGATTAATATTGATCTAAGATTAATTCAACATCCAAATGACTCCTAGAGCACTGCACAAACATTATAAGTGATCATGCAATTACAAATACATTTACTGGTGGACTAAAATATGGTTCTTACTTTTTTTCCAACATACTTAAAAGAACTAATTTCAGTATTTCATTCTGAAGGAGTTGAAATGGCTTCTTTCATTTTACCATTTGAAACAATCTGCTACTGATTACAGTATCAGCTATGATATCCCACCAAATTTGAAAAGTTTTGACCTACATGTTAAAACCCCACTTGGGTACAGCAGTCAAAGCAAAAGAGTTGAACAGAATGATAACCTATAAACAGTTAGTTTCATGTTACTTAAATCATATTTTTATCACCCTTACATAAACATTCTGAAATAAATGAATATATTTCTGATACTTTCATTTCATTGAGCAGCATTTTCGTTCGAAAAACTGTCGTGTCAGGACATTTTTAAGAAGCTGCCTGTAGTAGTTCACTGACCTCTGAAATGGAGCAGTCTCAGAGGTGGAAACTGCACATCCTGTACACCATACTGTGGCACTTCACAGCTATATGGTCTCTATTCTGCTTTCAAACGCAGAATCACACAGTGGCACGTGCGCCTCTCCCAGTAAAATCAATAGGAAGAGAACATGCAGATCTGAGAACAGGGAACTAACAAATTCAGTGGCCTCCACAGGGGATTTTGAGCTGCAGAATCTTAGCTCAGATTTTGCAGTAAGCACCCCTCTGTTGGACAAACTCTCCTGAGATCCTCCATCTGTCCTAGTGGGCAAAGATGGTATGTCTTCAAGGAGATAGTAGCTCCAGCAATAAAGTAACTCCTAGATCTCTCCAAGCCCATCAGCTGTAAAGACATGTCACTTGAGGTATAATAGCTGCAAGAAGGCAGACAGGCTCTCTGGGTAAGCTGTATGTACTCTGATTCCAGGGCAGCAAGGAAAATAGGAGAACTTTCTCTCCGCAAGTTGTATTACCAATTCAGAAAGCTCCTTTTTGAGCACTGAACCAGGGGCCAGCATCACCACTACGGCTCAGTCAGAAGGCCTGCTGAAGACACACTCAATGGGAGTGGCTGCAGGCTCAGTAAAAAGCTTAGGGAAAGTCTAGGACCTGTACTGATAGGAAAGTGCATGCATGGAGACGGAGCGAAAAGTCCCATGTAGCAGCAGTAAAGATCTGTCGTACTTACGCGAGTCTGTTAGTGTAGTACCTGTGCTTAATACAAGCACAAATACCATTATCCTTTCAATTGTGTGCAGTTCTGGTGTCCTCAACATAAAAAGGACATGGAACTGTTGGAACAAGTCCAGAGGAGGCCACGAGGATGATCAGGGGACTGGAGCACCTCCTGTATGAAGACAGGCTGAGAAAGTTGGGGCTGTTCATCCTGGAGAAGAGAAGGCTGCGTGGAGACCTCACAGCAGCCTTCCAGTATCTGAAGGGGGCTTATAAGGATGCTGGGGAGGGACTCTTCATTAGGGACTGTAGTGATATGGCAAGCGGTAATGGGTTCAAACCTAAACAGGGGAAGTTTAGATTAGATATAAGGAGGAAGTTCTTTACCGTAAGGGTGGTGAGGCACTGGAACAGGTTGCCCAAAGAAGTGGTGAATGCTCCAGTCCCTGGCGGTCTTCAAGGCCAGGCTGGACAGAGCCTTGGGTGGCATGATTTAGTGTGAGGTGTCCCTGCCCATGGCAGGGGGGTTGGAAGTGGATGATCTTAAGGTCCTTTCCAATCCTAACTGCTCTGTGATTCTGTGATTCTGTAACATAGGAGCACTTCTATCCCTGCTCCATGGGCAAGAACTGAAGTACAAGGCCATAAAAGAACTCTCTGGCAAAAGGAAATTGAATTAATGGATTCCAAGCCCTCAGCTACTACCCTAACCACTGCTCTATACTTTTGCAGATGATAAAATAGATATAAAAAGTATTATATCCAAGTAGAAGTTTAAGAATTTACAGTAGCAGCAAAACTTCTTTAGGCTGTACAAGAGGCAAGAACTTTTCTGTCACCATTTTCATCACCCAGAATGTTTTACCACAGTAAAACACTGTTTCTTCCTCCTAATACTAGCTATAGAGATCACAGGATATGAAACAAACACAGATGATCCCAAAGTAAAGATCACTCAAGTCACTCAAGGAAATAGCAGCATACCCGCAAAGGGTTGTTGAGTGTCCTTGAAGCTCTCTCGGTGAAGTTGAACTGGTTTGCAAGCTTCTTCTCTGGCTTTTTGGTGGGAGGAGCCTCTTCATCCTCCGCTGCCTCAGCTACTTCTGGTCCTGACTCCTCTGCCGTTTCCTCTCCCGCAGCCTGCAACAAAATAGAGCAGTGACTCCACCCTGAAAGAACCTGACATCTCTCTCCTTCTTCAGAAGCAATTCTTCTCAGACAGCTCCAGTTCTTTTGCCTAGTGAGTTAGATTATAACTGAAGATTCAATATTTAAGATGGAAATTAGGAGACTTCCAGCAATTAGAACAATGAGGTTCTGGAATGGTATTTAAACATGAATATGGAAAAACAGGAATGGAAGCTACTTAAAACAAAGCCTGACATAAGCAACATAATACATCATGACTGCCTTTCCTAAAATGGACTTAGAGATCAGGAGACTGTGTTAAAATCCCACTACCTGTGATTTCATTTCCTTGCTAGACAGTGAGCTTTATCTGAAACTAGTCTGAATTTGATTCAAAGGCCTGACACTGTGTGGATAAGAACAAACTTCTCACAGCATACTCCTTTCCTTATCAGCCAACTGCCTTCAAATCAAAACATTGCTTAACTCATGTTAACTCATGTTTAAGCGTTCGACACTGTCCCACATGACATCCTTATCTCTAAATTGGAGAGACATCAGTTTGACAGGTGAACCACTCGGTGGATAAAGAACTGGCTGGATGGCCGCACACAAAGAGTTGTGGTCAACGGCTCAATGTCCGGCTGGAGACCAGTAACGAGTGGTGTCCCTCAGGGATCGGTGTTGGGACCGGTCTTGTTCAACATCTTTGTCGCTGACATGGACAGTGGGATTGAGTGTGCCCTCAGCAAGTTTGCAGATGACACCAAGCTGTGTGGTTCGGTTGATACCCTGGAGGGAAGGAATGCCACCCAGAGGGACCTCGACACGCTTGTGAGGTGGGCTGATGCCAACCTCATGAAGTTTAACCATGGCAAGTGCAAGGTCCTACACCTGGGTCGGAGCAATCCCAGGCACAGCTACAGGTTGGGCAGAGAAGAGATTCAGAGCAGCCCTGCAGAGAGGGACTTGGGAGTGCTGGTCGTTGAGAAAATGTGCATGAGCTGGCTTCAGTGTGTGCTCGCAGCCCAGAAACCAACCATATCCTGGGCTGCAGCAAAAGGAGCGTGACCATCAGGTTGAAGGAGGTGATCCTGCCCCTCCACTCTGCTCTCGTGAGACCTCACCTGGAGTATTGTGTACAGTTCTGGTGTCTTCAACATAAAAAGGACATGGAACTGTTGGAACAAGTCCAGAGAAGGGCCACGAAGATGATCAGGGGACTGGAGCACCTCCTGTATGAAGACAGGCTGAGAAAGTTGGGGCTGTTCAGCCTGGAGAAGAGAAGCTGCATGCTTCTCATAGCAGTCTTCCAGTATCTGAAGAGGGGCTTATAAAGATGCTGGTGATGGACTTTTCATTAGAGACTGTAGTGATAGGACAAGGGGTAACATGTTCAAACTTAAACAGGGGAAGTTTAGGTTAGCTATAAGAAGAAAGTTCTTTACTTTAAGGGTAGTGAGGAACTGGAATGGATTGCCCAGGGAAACTGTGAATGCTTCATCCCTGGTGGTCTTCAAGGCCAGGTTGGACAGAGCCTTGGGTGAGATGGTTTAGTGTGAGGTGTCCCTGCCCATGGCAGGGGGGTTGGAAGTGGATGATCTTAAGGTCCTTTCCAATCCTAACTATCCTGTGATTCTATGATTCTATGTAGTTATGCTTGCTGCTTTCACCCCTCCACATTTTTTTTCACCAATTTCTCTTTCAGGAATGGACATCCTTTGCAGGACGATTCCAGATCCCCTCAAATTACACTCTACCTTGATATAATATCTGCATAAAGACAGAGCTGGTGTGAGAGACCTCATCCTCCTACATAGCTTCTGCATACTGAAAAATGGCAGCAGGATCCTAGTTGTTCAGTAGAATCTGAAGGATCTCACCTACAGCAGAGACATCTCAGGCATAAAAGAATCAATCACAGAAGCATCTCAGCAAGCCCATTTTATAAGAAAGGCATGTAAAATCTGATACTAAAAATAAAATTGACAGCTCTTTGATGACTATGAAGAATTACCTGAGTATCTCCTGTGCTTTGTTCATCTTTAACCTGTGTTTCTTCAGATGCTTCTGCAGAAGTCTCAGCAGGAGCCTTTTCTGATGACAAAAAGGATAAGTGAGTAGGTCCAGGATAATAGGATGTATTATCCCATACTCCACAGATCTTTCTATCTTCTGAAGTATTAACACACAGATGCATCCTTTTCTCATTAGACAACACAGTAACCAATTCCTAATTTGGAAGCTGATTTTTTGCTTGAAGCCATGGAAAGAGACAATGTTATTACCAGAACAAAACTGCAGTCATTCTGGCTGTACTGAAATAAAAAATCTGATTTCAACTCAAATCAAATCCTAAATCCAGTTCTGACATGAATAGTTTTGTCTCTGGGTATCCAATCAGCTCTGGACCTCTCTGCCCCCAAAAAATGGTTGGAATTTTATATAACTGTGAAGAATGCCTTCAAGGCATGTAAGAGTTACAGCATATTTTGTTCTTGTTTATATGGATCAACATGTATATACTAGTCTTGTTAGAGAATGGTGGATGTCAACATTCCAATCACAGTCTTGAGTGTGTAGTCATGCTAGCACCAAGCTGCTTGAAACTAGATATTTATGAATATACAAAAAACATTGCCCACAACAATAATCCATGCTTTCGTGGCATTGAAGATCCCCTACAGCACTTTGTCCTACTTCAAATCATCATACACATTTTGTTGAGTGTAAAATAAAAGAGGTGCTGACCCTCAGAAGCTGCAAGTAACAACTTCTCCCACGAGCTTATCCTGTGTTCTCATTGCACCTGACAGTTACCACCTTGAAAGTACACTCTTTGTGACACAACTTCTCTTTTTGCAAAGAACAGAAATACAAGAATATTGCTAGGCAGTACATCTTTCCATGCTGAAAATTCAAACCTAAAACTCTTTACTAACAACAGAGCTTTTCAGCCTCTGATTAAGGTGTCTTTGGACTGAAAACTTCAGAATGGTGATAATAGCCCAGATCAAAGGTCTAACTAGCCCAATATCTTGTATCCCACATTGTCTAGAAGGAGATGTCCCTGTTAAAGTGTGAAAATTGGTGAAGTGTATCCCAGTTTCCTGTATGATCACCCAGCCTCCAAACATTTCTGCTTTGACACTTTAAATCATGTCTGAAACCTTCAAATCAAGCTAGGGAGTTTAGACATTTATGTTCAACTAATGGCAATTGAAGATGTTTAAAAGACAGTAAATAGCTCTGAAAGTTTCAGTGTTAGTGTTTACATGGCTCAGAAAGCATGCACCATTTTCTACACAGCAGCAAACATCTGGCTGATTGTTTTTTCTAGTTTTGTTTCCCAAGAAGGATGAAAGCCAAAACAGGAGCTGTTCAATTCCATGGTGATGAAACATGATCATTCCCTCATGTTTAGTAACTGGCAACAGTACCCAGTTGAAGATTATTGTGGCTTCAGATAATAAACATACCTGCTCCAGTGGTTGATTTCATAGTCTGTCGCCTGCCTTCATCTGAATCTTTGGGTATCAGGTTTCCATTATAAGAGAAGTGAATGGCCATTTGATTCACATGGCTTATTTGTTTGTATGCTCGTTCCTACCAAGAAGAAAAAAAACACCAAAATCAGAGGAGGAAAAGTATTTTAAAAACAGAAATACTGTGTAGACCAAATTGCTGAGGCTAAGAAGATCCATACTGATAAATATATGCTTGCTATTTGCATATTTACACTGAATTTCTTCCTATATCTCTCGACACTTGAGAGCCATAAATTAAAAATACCACAAAAAGAAGCAACAACATGAGACCTCTAGTTCCCCAGCACTGTAACAGCAAGTGAGTTTAAATATAGCTCTAATCGACCTCTACTACACACAGCACTCCGTAGGAAACTCTCATGTCCTTTTGCCCTGAGATCCCAGAACATGCTGTTGTAGCTACACAGAAGCCTCACCATATGTAGAAAGCAACTCTGACCTGGGGACAGTACAGGCTTTTACCACTGTGCCCTGGTTACAAGCACTGTACTAATTCAGCTATTTGATGTTAGCTTGATTGGCAGTTTCTTGTGGACCATTGTACAGTGCAGGCAAGCACCTGGTCTCAAACCACCTATTAAGATTTTAAGATGCAGCTAAAAGTGATCAGAAGCCACTGCAGACCACAGATGCTTCAATAGCTTCTTCTTAAAAGTATGACTGCTTTCTGTACCAATCACAGCATAGCACCAAGTATAGCACTGAGCCCACTCTAGTCACTGCGCAGGATTAGAAGTTACGGATCATCCATCACCTGCTTCTATCCCATGAATACAGAAAACATCAACTCCAAATGGAAGATAAAGTGACCTTATTTGTTTCCACAAAAACTGATTTCCCTTCCCTGGTGATCTCATGTAATGGTTGGTCAAACTAGTTACTGTAGCAGAGGTAAGACAGGCTCAGGAATATTCCACTTGACTGACTGTTCCCTACCTAAGGTTGTGAATAATCTAGTGCCAAAGATGAAGGAGCTGTCCCTGTGTCCTTTCTTTCAGGGGGTGTAACCCTTGCAAGGGAGGAGTGGGAGGCGAAGACACGGTTTCAATCTCCCCCTCCCACAGCTTGCATTGATGTTCATGCTACCTGGAGAGACTGCTCCAGGGTAATGCAACATATGCTCTACACATACAGACATGAAGGTGTGACTCTTAGATGTTTCCTGGCAGTCTTTCCTGCACCCTCTCCTGCCCACTCCTACTCACCAGGAACAGAGCTTGTCAGTGATTTCATAAAGCACATTTCTGAGCTCTCCTGTAATTCAAACTGAATCTTAATATGGGGATACTGAGGTATAACTGTCTTATAAACTGAGTAAAGCAATGCCTTTTGTCCTCTAACCACCACAGAATAGAGAAAGTTACTGCCTGAGATTAACTGTACTAATTATGTTCACTGCCAGATCTAGTTGAATAATTGTTATACCCTACTTATGAATTAATACATCAATGCTTTTATACTTTTGCCCTCTGCAAAAACCCTTTAAGAACCATTGGCAGCAAATATGTAACAAGATGAAGTCACATTAAAAGGAAATTTACCTAGTTATAAATCAGAAGTAAACACAAAACCATTTAACTGCAAAAAATGTCATTGTGATTTACAGGTCATGCCACACTTACTTTAAAGCTGTATCTGACGATATTCTGGGGAGCATGGGGATTATTAGCTTTCAGGACGCGTGTAATTTCCTCTTTTAATTCCTTTGGAATGGAAAAAAAATACTACTGTAAATAAAACTCCACTATTAATACAACAAACAGAATACAAAAATCAGCAGGTTTAGGGTCAGTTCTATGATGTTCAATTTCCTGCAGATACCTCACGTACAGCTGATGCCTTCACAAGAACAATGCTTGTGGCAAAGCAAGCTCAGAGTGGAATCCAAAACAGTCATCTGCTTCCCACCATTGTATTTCAATGGGCTTTCTTGAATCTTTTAGCTGACGTTAATTCTTATCTAAGCTATGTTAGCTGCATTCTATAGGGCAAGGAAGCTCATCAGTGCCTTGAAGTGTACACTGTCCAAAAATGCATAAACAATAAGATCAGTAGCAGTGCTCGCAGGATTGACCACTGCAGACAAAATGCAGTACTCAAGTTAACTATTTTCACTACCTGAGTAGGGGGAGGTGTATCTTCCCTTTGAGAACTACTTGAAGGACAGGAAGCAAACTAGAGTTTTATATGGCAGTGGAAGAGAGAGCCAACTGCAGCTGAAATGGTGACTGACAGCAATAGTACTGAACCAAGCTGACAGAAAATGGCCATAAAACTGTAGAACTGTATATCACACACACACCTGAAAAGCTAAAAGGTTGGGCCTGGGGTCCTCTTTGTCTAAGTGACGCCTTTGCCCCATTCCCCTCTTGGATTAATTCCACGCAGTTACACTGCCTTAAGGCCGGAACTGTGATTAAAAGCACATTCTCTGTTTTCCTGCTGAAAGACATTTCAGTTTATGCAGCAGACACTGTACTTCAGCAAGTACAGTTTTCATCTCACAGGAATCCCTCCAAAACAAATGGGTAAGAGGTAGGCTTCATTTTATAGAATTTTGTATACATCTCATGACAGCTACAGGCACTGTTTTACTCACAGCCTCAGTCAGCTCCAGTTGATCAGGGGGTTTGACTAGAGCCTTTACTCCTGTCCCTGCATCTGCCACGTCTCCTGCTTCCGTGGAGACATCGTCATCCTAGCAGAGGAATGACAAACCCATTAGTACAACTCCCAGAGCAGCACTTCTCCAGGCATGGAACAAGGAGATAAAAGCAGCATCCCCCCAACTCATCTGTACTTTGAGCAGAGCAGATAACCCCAAAAGGCAGGCCCAAATCTGAAGATTGTTGAATGGCTACATTTGACGGCAAGAGTTCAGCAATGAGGAGCTGCTGTCTGGAGATAATTCCTGGCCTGTAACAAAACTGGAATAACTCCAATAACAAAACTTAAGTAACTGTACTTCAATTTTGATTTAAAAGTTGGCAATTCTGTTTCTTTTGACCATATACACCCAAATGAGTCATACCTTAGGACTACTCAAGGGCACAAGTCAAGGACCTGCAATTACTTCCGAAGGGCTATTCTATAAGCTACACTTAGAAACTAGTTTGAGATACAAAGATGCAGGGGTGGGGATCCTGGAGGAATGTTAACCATTTTCTCATGAAGGCCAGCAGGTCTGCATTCTCCCAACACAGAGAGCTGCTCTCCTTAGGCTGTGTTTGGGTTGATGTCATGGTATGATATCATTAACAGGAAAATGAATCATTGCAGGGATGAATTTCAATTAATTGTCATCACAGATAAACTGCCAGAACACAAAGTTGCTGATTAAAGTGTTTAACTGCTCCAGGCAAAATTTATCCCTCAGTCAGAAATGTGTAATGGGTTGATTTAAAATAAATCAATCATTCTTTTAAATACAGTTCTCTCAGGTCTGCTAGACATTATAGAGCTGGCGGTGAGCGCCGGAAATAAGTGAAGGCTGGTTGCAGGTACAGAGACTGGACCCAGCAAAGCTTTGCTATCTGCAGAGTGCCACAAACATAAATAGCACAATGATGTGTAAAACCATGCAGTGGCTGAGAGTATTCTGCATATGCCAGGCATCCAGGGAAAGTCACAGACTGCAGCCTTTTTCTTCCCTAAAGGAGCTGAAATGAGGCAAGCTGTAAGGAAGGTCAGGCGCTCTAATACATGAAAGATTATGACGGCAGAACAGTTGTTTGTGATTTAATGCTCCCCACCTGCTTGTAGGACATTTATCATTCATAATTCGATGCCAACTAGATCAGTGGCTGTTTTCCCCAGTGAATCACATAAAAAGTGTTGTGGGTTTAATGTTTTTATTTATGATTTTCATTTAAAAGTAAATGAAAAGGGTCAAAAGAGGAACGTTTAACAAGACTGTGATTTGTTATAAGAAAGTGAAAAGCTGTTTATTACCATGTCTGTTTAAAGACACGTAAACTGTCGTTCTTCCATCCAAGCCAATACAGCAAAATAAGGGGAAGGTAGATTAAATATGGCTATTTTAAGCATTTATTTGCTCAAAAGTAAAAACATTATAATAAGGATTGTAATCAGAAAGTTACTACCTTTTTTTTTAATGTTTGTATTTCTATGTTAATTAAGTGAATATGGGATATGCTTTGATTTTTCTAAAACAAGCAGTCAGTTTTCTCACCCTCTCCAGCTGATATTTTGGAATTTACACCCCATACATTTATTTTAATCTTTTCATATTGCAAATTACCTACATTGTACTTTTGCTTTAGCTGCCACTTTTATTCTAAAGTGCTGGTGTAATTCCCTTCTCAGTGGAAATCTAGAGCTTCCTAACCTTATTGCTAAATCAATTGGAATGTTACCAATTCCATAAAACAGGCCATTGCTCAGACTGCATCTAGTTTTCAACTCACAGATAAAGAATGAAAAAACACTTTTTGAGACTTGTGGATTTGTGGATCTTACCCGTTTTTTAGATGCCGCTCTCAAAACCCTTGGTAGTCCTGCCCTTCCTCCTGAAGGTCCACCTTGGCCCTGAAGCGACAACATACCAAATGTAAACCTTCAAAGCACCTTTTCTTCCTAATTTAACCAAAGCAGAATAAAATTTTAATGTGCTTAATAATGTTTGCTCCAATGGTATGTTTCAAAAGCCGAACATTCCAGTATTTTGCCTATGAATAATTTAATTGAAAGGCTGTCCCTTTAACAATACAAGACGGCAGTTTTCAGGATGAAGAAACACTACGCTCTCTGCTTGTTACTGTCTATCTGTGATACCCCTAAATGTCACACACAGAGAGCGTTCTAGTGCCTTGCTCAAACACACAGAAAAGCTGCTTTTCTCCAAATGCCTGCATGTCATGGTGAGACTGGAGACAGCAGATCCACACCTACAAATACACAAGTGCTAAAAAAACACGGAAAACACTGATGAGCAGCTGGAAAGTTAACCACTGCCAACCTCCCCAAGCACTGAAAAACATCTATAACAGGCTTCAAGGAAAACAAAGAAATAGTTGTTTATAGGGAGCCTGACAGAGTTTAAGGAATAACAGAAGGGCACCAGTGACAAAGCTTTATGAAAACTTCACAGAAGGTGAGAGAGAAAATGAAGAGGATCCTTTTGAGAAGACACTGCAGGACAAACAGGACCAAAAACCCAGATGGCACAGGGAGGGAGAGCTGATAAATTAAACAAAGGAGATAATATTCAAAACCTGGGCAAGAACAGGTTTCAAGATGGATGCCAGAAAAACGCTGGATGGGATGGATAGGAACACCGAAGTAGGTACTTGGAAAAAGTTTTTGTCTTTGTGACAGGAAAGAAAGGAAACTAGAGAAGAGGGAAGGAAAATGAAGGTGTGGAAGAGCAAGCTCCCAAGGGTTTATTGATTTTCTTTAGAAGAATGTTAGAGTATGCCTTCCAGATCAGATCAAAGGTCAAACTAGCCAAGTATCCCCCTCCAGCAGTATTCAAAGCAGAGATCTATGGAACTTTCTCCAGGATACCCCCTCAGCTTGCCACAGGGACTTAAAACAGAAATGCTGTCATTTTTATTTCATACCAGTGAACCTTTTTCTCTACAAATTTATTCAGTCCTTTTGGAATCCATGCACATTGTTAGCATGCACAGCTTCCACAGCAAGGATTCCCATGGTACAGCTACATGCAAATGCAAAGAACCCCTGCTTGCTTTTCAAGTCCGCCACTTGCTGTTTTCATCTGGTTTTCCTAGTTAGTCTACTCACAATCCCAGCTTTATCATATTATCCATTTTTCATCCCCTTTTCCATACTTCTTATGAACACCTTAAGGAGCATGGTCTCTACAGAGATTCCTAGATGCCTCTTATAGTTCCCCTTCATTAGGAAAATTAAATATTCATTTCTACCATCTGCTTCCTACGCATTAAACAATTAAGCAGCTATAATGACTTCGACCCAGGATCCCCAAGCCTTTTTTCTAAAGTCCTTTTACTTGTTAAGACATGACAATAAGAATTCAGAAAAGAAAAATTTTCAGAGAAGAAGAAACAGCAGCAGAAATGTGAGGCTGTGTCTTTCAGTACTACTTCCCCTTGTACCACCTAAGCCACCTAAAACTGCATTTACTTTTATTCTGGAAGATACATATTAAAACCGATGAAAAATGAACAGTCCGATACATTTATATGCTTAGAAAATGTGCCTTGCTTTGAAATACAAATTATTATGACTCAAGTAGGGAAAATAAAGAGTTATGACATTTCCTTTATAATCCTACAGTGGGCTGGTAGCAGAGCAGATCAGAGAGCCTAAGAGCCCCTACATCACAACCGCTGCTGAGACTACTGGATTACACAACTGTCCTGTGTCCCCAGCACATCCTATCCTACAGAGAGCATGCTACATGTGAACCAGAGGTGATTTAAGCAACACAATCTAAGCAACAGATTTTCAGAGCAGAGTTTTATTCAGATCCAAATCAAAATCAAACTTCTGATTTTAAACATGAAACAAAGCCTGCTCACTATTGCCCTTTGTAAATGAGTCTATAAAAGCATTTATCCTGCAGCAAAGGCATCGACAAGGCAATCTGAGGGTAATTTGGTTTGGCAGTTGCATAGATTTCAATTAACATAATCCGAAAAGCCACCTGTGAATACATATATGCAACAGTATTAAAACACAAAAATGGCACTGAAGAAAAGCTAGAGTGCACTGGAAGGAGACAGCACAAACCCTGCCCTGCTCCCTGCACTGTACTGTTTGTAGAACACAACGTGAGCAATTTTTCTAATCAACCAGAGGCCTATGGCTAATTTGCTTTACTTCTTTTGTCCTCATACAGTACCTTCATGGTTTTAAGACTGTAACTTAATGATATAATACAGGCCTGATATGATTGGGAGACCCTGAGGAGACCCATGGTGTGGCATAGAGGAGTACAGGCAGGTGATGATAAGTGATGGGGCACGGGCTTGACACAGGGAGACCCCACAAGTGTAAGCATCTCATCACTGGCCGGTTAGAGAAATGTAGATTTGCAGAGGGAGGAACTGAAGAAAATTGGGTTTAGGGGTAACAAAGAAAACAAAACAATAGCATCTAGCATACTACTACATGCCATACCAATGGCAAAATGTGTGGAACTGTGTTAGCTAACATAAAATAAACTCCAAGTGGGTCTAGAACTGTTGGAATCCAGCTGGAAGGTGACACAAACATGAAGAGGTGAGATCCTAGTATTCTGGCAATATTATCACTAGACAACACTCATCATGACTAGATCTCTAAAATTATTACAGGGAGCAAAACGGGGACCAAACATTATGCTGGGGAGGGACTCTTCATTAGGGACTGTAGTGATAGGACAAGCGGTAACGTGTTCAAACTTAAACAGGGGAAGTTTAGATTGGATATAAGGAAGAAATTCTTTCCTGTTAGGGTGGTGAGGCACTGGAATGGGTTGCCCAGGGAGGTTGTGAATGCTCCATCCCTGGCAGTGTTCAAGGCCAGGTTGGACAGAGCCTTGGGTGAGATGGTTTAGTGTGAGGTGTCCCTGCCCATGGCAGGGAGGTTGGAAGTGGATGATCTTAAGGTCCTTTCCAACCCTAACTATTCTGTGATTCTATGTGTCAGCCAAAAATATAAAGTGTTTTACATAGCCTCCTAACTCAGGTAACAGCACAAAGTCTACTGCTGCTCCACTTGCTGAAAAGGGCAATCCTGACATTCCTTTTTATTGGTGTGCCTGTGCTTTGTCCTTTTGCTATCTCTTTTGTAAGCTCCTTCTCCCTGTAAATCTTTCCCCAAAGCCTGCACACTGTCCTTCTTCACACCTTTCATTAAAACTTCTCTGCCACATCAGCTGTAGAGTACTCAACAGCACCCAGATAGTTGATGAACTTCCACCACAGCTCAGAATGACAGCCATTGCTTCCTTAGTCTTCTTTTTAATGTATCCATAAGTTACTATTTAAGATGCAAACCTTTTGCTCTAAAAGCGGTTTCTTTGTTCCACAACGCGCAGTGTTTGTACAACAGGGAGGAGGTCACAAATGCACCCGCAATACAAATAAACAATAAAGGATAACTGTGAATTAACATAAGGATTGTATATTCACTAGCAAGATACTCACAACCACCAGCCTTCATACACATCTCTAAAATTCAAGCACATTTTTGCTGTTGTTAGCTACAGGAAAAAAAAAAGTTAACAGACTATTATCAGCATCTGAAAGAGAAGTATTTCAGAAGTTAGAAAATGTGAGAATTAAGGTTGCTTGGGCAACCTTCAATTCATCCCATCAGGGACAGGCATGGTACACAGCTTAATTCCATAACCATACACTTTGTTTTGTGTAAGTTCCCTGCCTCATTTAAGTTCCCCCAGGCTTACAAACATGGACAGAGTTCAGACAATATGTTGCTACTAGTGCTTTGGTTAATGTTGTTCAGCATCTAGAATCTTTTCTTTTTTTTAATGCATAGCCTGAATCAGACACCCAGCAAAGAACATTTCAATCACAAGCCAAACACTAACATTTTAGTGAATTCCATATAAACTGAGGATGATTTTCCTACAGAAAAAAATTAACAGTCTTCCTAAATCTTTCTAATAAATGGTGCTATTATCCCTGCCTTTAATAATAATTAACAAGAGGAGAAGTGTGAATAATTATGAGAGATTTATATTAGGAAAAAAGTGACATTGTTGCTAGGGAACTAAGGAATGGGTAGGAGACATTAAGGAGCTATAAGGCATTTCTCACCTCCAGGTCGTCATCATAACTTTGACCATCCTGGTCGGTGTTCCACTGCTCCCGCAAAAAATTCCAGAGTAAGAATTTATGCATGCTAAACATGGTTTACCCTGATGAGCATCTTGTATTGAATAAATTAACAGATTATCATTTTTTCCATAACAGTCACAATATTTAAATTAAGGATACAGAAAACTAAGTTGACTTCTTTTCTGGACCTTTCTTCCAGGATGTGTTTATGATCGCAGCAGCTAGAAACTGGGACAGACATCGACTACGCTACAAGACAAATTGACTATTTAATATAGCAAAGATACAGTAATCCAACAGGATGATACAGATTAAGAGAGGAAACAGCTGAAAATTGATGGTTTAAATGCATTTAATTTTCTTTCCCCTTGCCGCAGCCCTCTTTCACACAGGCAAGCCATCAAGAGGTGCAAATAGCTGCAAAATGAAGTCCTTCAGCAGGAAGCTTTCCTACTGCTAAACTATCCAACAAGCATTTCTAATTATATTTTTAGGTTGGATATTTGGGTTGTCTCCAAATGAAATTCCTCTAATTATTTATTATTTAAGTTACAAACCAGGAAAATAAAATAAGAAGAAACTATTGGCTACTTTCCAAAGGACATAGCTGTAAAAGAAAAAAGCTCTCCAGGCTGGCATTTCCTAAAAGCTATCTTGTTTCTAAACACAGAAACATGTAATAGGATGGAAAGCATCTAAGAGATGTGATGGCTAGTGGAAGTTTTGCTCTCAAGACCCTAGCAATTTGAGTGCAGC